GTTTAGGGTTTAGGCTTTAAGGTGTGTTTCAACAAACTCGGCGTCAGGTATAGCGGTAGGTGACGGTGTGATTTAATACATTAGTTCAATGAAATCCCGAAAGCCACCAGAGTCCCGAATGAACTTGCACCAAGGCACTGCCACAAATCCTAAAGCCATGGTCAAGCAGCAGCTCACCATCGGCTATTCCTTTCCTTGGCTGTTGCTAGGGCTTTGTCGAACAAGCCAAAGATCTCTTCCTTCTACGGCGAAGCGGAAGAGGCCAAAAAGATCCAACAACTCTCCCTAAACCCTAAGCCCTAACAAATGTATTCAGGCTTGCTGCAACATCCGGCGAAAGCCGTGGATTAGGGAATCCGAGTCCTTGGAACGAAAAGAAACCGCGATCCAGTCCCGAAGTACAGCATCGACGATGAAAGGCAAGCCAATTCCTGCACATCAAGTTTAGGGTCTACAGGGTTTAGGGAAGCCAATTCCTGCAGGTGGGTAGTTCTCTAAAATAGGGTCCCTTCTTGCGTTCCTTTTATAAGGGTGCCGTGCTTTTGCGGGGGCCCTAATTTAAAGAACCCCACATATAGAACCCTGGTAGAACGTTTCTAGAAACCCTTATAGATCCCTTCAAGGAAACCCTAAACCCTAAACCCTTAAACCCTTAAGCCCTAAACTCTAAACCCTAAACCCTAAACCCCTAGCCCTAAACCCCTACACCCCAAACCCTAAACCCAAACCCTTTAAAGGGAGCCATCGAAGAGCTTCCGAATCCCCAAGGCACGCAGGCCTGCGGCCGCTTGGAAGGACTGCTGCAGCAGACAGACCGGCGTCAGAAAAGACTCGCTTGAGCTTTGAGCAGCTAGATTCCTTGGCTTAGGGTTTAAGGCTTAGGGCTTATAGGGTTTGGGGTTTGGGGTTTAGGGTTTAGGGCTTAGGGTTTAGGGTTTAGGGTTTAGGGTTTAGGGCTCAGGAAAGCTCAGGAGCTAGATTCCTTGGCTTAGGGTTCAGGGTTTGGGGCTTAGGGTTTAGGGTTTAGGGCTCAGGAGCTAGATTCCTTGGCTTGGGGTTTAGGGCTTAGGGTTCAGGAGTTCTTTGATCAACAACGCAACAAAGGTTGCGCAGTTGCGTTGGCGTAGGTTTACTTAAAGGCTCATGGGGCGAAGCAAGGCCGTAGTTAGAATTAAGACAACCCTACTTAGGGCACCTTTAACCCCAAACATAACCCTACCTACTAAGTCCCTGGAGCCCATAATATAGGGGGCCCGTAATAATTTAATAGTTAGAAAAGGATTTTGGGGCCGCTATACTATAATTATTCTAACAAGGAACCCCCAAAATGGTACAGGTAATTATAACCAGGGATCTCCAAAATTTTAGGTGCTAGGGCCCGCCTAGGACGGCATCAGAAGCTTACAAACTCAATCTATCCCCTAAACCTTAAACCCTAAA